GTGATGCACTGAGAATCCGTCGTCATCAGACAAATATGTTTGCGTTTGATCGATGCGCGGTGGAGTTCCGTGGTGACACAAAGGAAGCAATTACAGATGTAATTATCATTAGCTGCACAGTGATTAGGATTATAATGAAGGGTGGAGGGAGATGGTGAAAAGGAGTAATGTTAGGTTGTGACAAGACGTCAATTAGGGCATGCATACAAAAATAACCTTCACTGTCAGGTCAATAACCTAAAGTGATACCAAAAATGTAGTTACATTTTTCTTTTTTTCAAATAGTAAAAACTCTTTTAGACAATTTTAAAGGAGAAAACAAGTGCCAACAAGTGCCAACAAGCTAGCCTTGTTGTTTGAGGCTAGCATCTTGTTTTACAAGACAAGATAGAACACGCTAGATACCAAAAAATAAAATTAACAAATTCCCAGTCTGATTTAAAGGATGGTTGAATGTCTGCTGGCGTCTTGTAACAACCTTGGAGCGAGAAAGTGCTAAAGTTTCAGAGTCAGTGACTTTTGGATCATATTATTTTCAATTTCACCTGGTGAGATTACCAGACAACCTTAAAAAAAGAGCTTTAGGAGAAAACAAAAACAAGATGCAAATCGTCTGCCTTTAATAACCATCACTATTGAGGTTCTTATAATAAAATGTACCTACAGCATAGTCGGGCTCTCTGTTAGGCTGTTTACGGTTTCCCCTGAGCAGGTACAATCACCTTTCGCTCCATAAAGGGAAAATCCATGAGCTAAGTGACCATGAAGGCCAATGGTGAGAAAATCCATAGTTTTAAGGATATAGATTGCTTTTCTCACAAGGCCTGTGGCTCAGTGAAATCTTTGATTTAGGATTTCTTTAATCTCCGTCTGAAAGGATGGAGAACGACATCCAATCTGGTTCAGCTGTGTTCATTTGATTTTATCACTAGAAAAAAGCATCAAATCTGATGTTCGAAACATGCTGTGTAAAGGAAAAAACATACCAAAAATTTCATTTTCTAATGATAAAGAATATATAATATCTATGATGTATTGTCAGCTGAGGCGGGTTCATACTCCACCACCTGTGACCCTCAAAGAGCCGGGAGGAATAAATATAGGCTATTTGACTCAGCTCTGTTGTTGGCTCCTGTTTGTCATGACCACTCGAAAAAAAGGCAGAGGGACAGTAATTGGTTTTATACAGTGTTTGCCAGCTGAGCCACATCAGTTCAAATGAAAATGATACCAAAACAAAAAAACATTGACTTGACTAACCATCTGAAAAACCTCCCTGTTCTTTGAAAAGATTTGAGGTCCTTTCTGCACCGGTGGTGATTCTGTGTTAGTGCGGTTCTGTGATCATGCAGACTCTGCATATTTAAATGGAATAAATAAATAAAAGCGAAGTCTATAATTTCAGTATGGATGCAGAGTTGCAGCTCTAACTGCTGTTCGCTTTCCACTGAGTCTCATACAGCCAGGCATGTTTTCTGCCTGTCTGCTGTTTTCACTTCTGCTACCACTTACAGAGCTTCTCAATGGCACTGACTTATGAAAAGAAAAAGATAAATGCAATATGCACAAACAAAATTAAGAATTAAAAATATTTAAATTAAAATTCAATAATTATGATAAAAAAATAATGATGTTAATAATCTAACTTAAGCAAATATATTTCATTGCATTCACTCCCTCTGTTTTCGACGGGCGGAACAGTGACGTACAAACATGTGAACACACAAGCCAAGCGTGAGTTGGCTAAAATTTTACTTAGGTTTTTTTTCTCATTGTATAGTAGTCTGTATATCCAATTAGTGAGTGACATGTCCATTTACACTCGATGCATCCTCCCACCTGTTATTGGCTAGCCAGAGACGGCGAGGTGAGGTGACAGCCGATTTTCACAGCTCAGTGCCGTGAGAAGAGAGGCTGTAAAAACAACTGTAAATCTGTAGTAAGAGGCCTGTGCATCTATTGCATCTATTCTGCACTTCAATTACCTCACATTACATCACATTAATTTGCAACATGTGCATTGAATAAATTTTAAAACCATGATTAAAGCTAGTCTAGTCTGTAATGCAGAGTTGTTGTTGAATATAATACATTTTTAAAACAATATGTTTTTTTTACCCAGACACTTACACTACACAGTACTTAAAAAACAAAAAACAAAACAATTGGTCATTTAATTAGCCTCACAGGTGACCAGTGAGTGTACATTCCTCACTATGTGAATCTGGTTATTAAGACTGGAATAAAAACCCATTACTAAAATAAATGTTATTACTAACTACTGTGATATTTCAAGTGGGGGAAGACAAAAACACATTTCTTCTTCAAAAGGTGTGATAATTGTTGTTAATTTAACATGAATTAGTTTTTTTCACACATATGACTGGCTTCTAATTTCTCCCAGACCATCTCTCTCTCTCTCTCTCTCTCTCTCTCTCTCTGTATGTGAAGGATCAGAGGAGGGATGAGCTTGTTCATATTCCAGTCATGTTTGACTCACCCCACAGTTGAGGCTCCTCACCACCAGTAGCTGCTGTCTCCCTCTCCCTCTCCCTCTCTCTGCCTGCCCTTCAGTTTCTTTAAATTATTATTGTGATAATTGCCTCCTGTGAGAGGCTGTTGTCACAGCCCCTGTGCAGAGGCTGCATGGATTCAGCTCTAACTTTATCCTTTATTTATTCTTGCCAGGTGAAAAAGGTGAGAAGTGATTTGATAAGTCTGGTTTTTCTGCTAGACACACAGATATACTATAATCTAGACAGTAGCTGCAGATGCTGTATATCTATGACTACAAAAGTACAGCCCAGGAAAGATAAGATGTTTTTCCACTGGTTCTGAAGCAACTTCTGAACTCTATTGTCAAATATACTCCTCTTCACATCATATTTAAATTTTATTTAGATTTTTAGGTCGAACCCAGTTCACTGTAAAATCATCATCATCATTGGCTACAGTTTTGTTATTACACTGCCCTTTGTGGCAATTATTTCATACGACCACGAAGATGACCAACCTCCAATGTCCCTGGAGCTCAGTTGAGTGTAAATCAAATGTAGCCTTATGTAGGTCACCACCCACAAACATCCCATAATGCAGCTGATGAGCATCATTCTGCAGGGCAGAGATCATTACTGCCAGACCACAGATGACAGTCTAGACCCAGGACCACAGACCGGACTGCTATCTCTGCCAAACACTTGTTCTTTAAATATTTATATTTTGTGCACATACTATAAATATATATTCACCATATACGCACACAACATATAAACAAAATCAAAGATTGAGATTAAAGATTGACATGTAAGAAATTAAAACTATGATGTTGACCTCAGAAAAATCAGTTTGTGTGACTACTTCTCAGATTACAGCCAGCTGCAGACTGAGCACGAGCCTCACAGGCCACAGCTGGATAGTTCCGAGTACAGAGTATGTCTAATGAAAACAGACACAAACATTAAAAACATTGCCAAAAGTCAGTTAGCTGCAGCTGTGATCTCAGGATTTGGTTCTATTGTCACCTCCAGCCAAACTCCCGGCTGAAAGTGTGAAAATAGGATGCATCTTTCCCCCCCTGCTTTATGGACTGCTGTCAGATCATCTGCTACTGAAAAAAAAAACATAATTTTCATACAGAAAAAAGATACAGATTTTTGAGACCAAGTTTAAAAATATTAACCAACGAGAGCCTTATGTGATTCAGCAGTGACGAAAATAGAGTTGGAGGAAACTCCTTCACTCCTCATCTGGTACATGTTGACAGGTCAAGAGAAAGACCTCCATTACACATCTTTAATTAAAAAAAAACCCAGACATTTGCGATTTCTTTCTTCTTTTTCTGTGTTACAAGAGTGTAGCAGAAACATACTCCGCACAGCCCGCCACAGAGGGTCGATGGCTGGAGATTAAATTTTGCCAAGACATTAGCAGAATCGATTTCTCCTCAGACTGTTTTAATCACATGGACTGGTTATCAGCAGCTCACCCCTCCATCCGTCTTCATTTCCTCTATCCGGGAATAAACACGGCCTTCGTCAGATGACGGGTCGTTCGGTCTAGAATCACCAGCGGCTCTGCAGCCGTCACAGCATCACACTGGGACCAAACCCCAGTATCAGACAATCAGCATTTCTCCATGTGACACAGATGAGTCTAATGCTATAAAACAAACTGTGAAATAAAGGAGCTGGTTGTTGTTAACAGGCCGCTGACCTCATTTCACACTCACATCTTTTCTTCATGTAATAATCCTGATGTGAGAATAAACAAGTAAACATCCCCACTGCTGTTCATTTACATGGACTGATCCCTGATTCTCCACACCACAGTTTTCACTTAACATGTGTCTGATTTTCTAGTATCTGTCAGATCTGCTTTTTTTTTTAATTCTTAACAACCAGGTAAAGAACTTCCCATGACAACTCAACACTATTTACGAACACATTATTACAGTATTTTCAAATGTTTCCAATGCACAAACAATAAAAGCATATTGGTTCAATTCTTCAACGTAGCTACGATGGACTGGAAATTAAGCAAAGTAACTAAGAAACTCACTAATACTGGATACAAGCAGCTTTAAAAATACATGTGTAGAAATTTATACTGTGCTTTTTTTAATTACAGATGCTAGAGCCCTTGCTGGATATACAAAACATCTAAAGCTAGAGATGCTAATGAATTTGTCATTTCCTGAAATAATCTTTTAAGCTTGCACCACTAACTATAAAAAAGATATGACATTTCAGAGACAATTACTGCAGTAAAAATGCCAAACTGTCCTCTGGCTTAATCACCAGTCATCAAAACAACTGCAATAAATATATACTTTTCAAAATCCTCTTCTTCACACGCTGCATGAGGAGGCAGCGGCGATTACCTTCGACAACGTTGACATTCGTTGTGATGTCAAAGCAGAAAATGCATCGTCCGCCCACGCGTCTGAGTCGGAGCTGAACCACGCGTCGATCTGGACTGCAATCAGAGGGCAGAGGATGATATTGGTTCTGGATCTCATTTCCTGTTTTATTGATCAAATATGGCAGGACATGTTATACCAGGGAAAGACAAACAGAAAGGACAAGTTCGTCCTCACACTCTCTGTTTTACAACTGAGAAGGACGGGCATTTCTCTGAGGAACGGTGATCAAACATCACACACACACACACACACACACACACACACACACACACACACACACACACACAGATACACATGGAGAGAATAAACACACAAACCACCAGGACTACTCATGTATTAAAGGGGAGTTTTAAGGAGATTAAGGATCCGGTGACAGTAATCAGATTAAAACCAAAATGTTTAAAGTCCACTTTGAGACAGAGTTTGTCTTTGTTGTTTATGTTTCAATGAAGCAACAGGGTTTTACAGAGATGATGGAACAGGTTCTCTTTTTACAGCTGCTTATTCTAAAGTGTAATAAACTCATCAGACTGAAGCTGTCAGCTCAGTCTCCCTTACACACACACGGATGAAGAAGTAACAAAGGTAATGTCCTTTTTTTTTCTTTTACTTCCAACTCAGGCAAAAAACTCCTCACACTTCCATGTTGATGAACGGTCTTCAAATGGTGATCCAACAACTACGCTCTAAAAATGAGATTATTTCAACCAGACAAATCAAAGTTCTGTGCTTTTCTTCTTCTTCTCAAGTTCAACTGAAACCACAGCTTTAAAAAAGTTCCATTTCATGCAACTGTAATTTTTTTTCTGACAGGGGATTCATTCTGCTTCAACAAAATCAACAAATGAAGATCATTAAAAAGGAAAACGAAATATTTTAACTGTCAGAATCAAACTTTTCCTCCAAGTTGTTTTGATGACTTTTTCTACATCTGGACAGAAGATTTAGTTGCTGTCAACTGAAACTCCCCATTAAGTTTATCACCATCATAATAGGGGGTGGTTTTAAATTCTAAAACTTCTAAATTAACACTGAGCCGAACTGTGATTTAGCAAGACTAAAATAACTACATTTCTTTTGAAAATACCATACCAAGAAACCATAAAACAGATTTTGAACAAAGATTATTAATATGAACTTTTTCCACAAAGGAAACAGAGGTAATAAAGGAAATCCTCTGATTTATAGCACTATTTTTAAGCTAAGCACCATTTTGTGTGAAATTGACTCTTGGTAGTTTTTAGTGTTAGTCATTGATGCACTTTTATTCATATATATTAACAAAAGTCAAATATTGTTAATGGAACCAACGGAACAATCCAGACTTTGGGCTTTTGGGAAAATCCTAACCTGAATTTATCTTTAACCCTAATGATTGTCTTAATGCAGCCTTGGCAGGACAATAGTTCTGTGATTTGATAGCAGGTCAGAGCTGGAGATTTGTTCAGAGAGACGATACTACAGGGAGAAGACGACAAAGATTGCAGACAATGTGACTGATCACAAGAAGGAATTCAAAGTGCTTTCAAACCACAGTCGCTTGTACACGCCGAGTTCTAACAAATTCAGTTTGACACTGAAACATGAAAAAGTTAATTTGTCACCATATTGACATTCAATGGTTGTCTGAGAAAACACAGGCAGAGAAAATTAAAAACATTTGCCCAAAGCTGTCTGGTTAAAGAGAGGAGTGTTTGAAGTGAAGGTGAACAAAGGATGCTGAGCTGTTTTAATCCAAACAGTTTGTGAGCGTGAGGTCACAGTGAAACCCTGTGTGAAGGCGTCTCTCTGGAGTGAGGACTACTCAAACTAAAATAATAATATTCTTATCTGCTTGAAGCTCAACATCAAAATCAAATGTCGAGCAAGTGTGACTTAAGTCAAAGGACGGTAGGTTGACCAGGTATATCCATCATCAGGCCAACAGAAATGTATTTCTGCTGTAGAATCGAGCAGAGAGCTCACTGCTCTATATGCTCGTCACTACAAAAAAAAAAAAAAAAAAAAAAAAAGAAAAACATAAAAAAAAACAAGTGGTAAATAATCATCTGTTGGATTCCACTCCCTTTTCTGGAGGGACACTTCATGTAGTTTGGAGCAGCTGTAAAGGGAGGCAGCATCAGTTATGGTGATCACGTGAAAGTCCAGCTGTTTGGCGACTTCTTCCAAAGCGTCGGACTCCGTGAGTCGGATTAGTGAGTTACCTAGTAGACTTGGGGATCTGGTGTCTTCAGAGAGACGCCAACTCGCACTGGTTTTAAGCTACATAATCTATTCAACCAGCACTGTGTCAGGCCAGGTCAGAGGGCAGGAAGTGAGCTCGGCGGGCTGGCTGGCAGTGGTGATCAGCTAGCTGGTGGAGTTTGTTAGCAGGACTGTGCTGATCACCTGGCTGATCCAGGACTTCTGCTCAGACAGTGATTCTCCTTCTGTTCCGCCAGGACTGGCTAGTGGTCTCAGGGCAGCTGGATTTTCAGTCTGTGTGGCTCAGTTCAATGATGTCACTTCCTGTTTTCTGTGGCCGAGTTAGCTGGGGTCTTTGTGGCTGTGTCCTCTTCATCACTGGGGAGCTGCAGGGCCGTGGAGTTAGGCCCGCCCCCGTTCTGAAAAGTTTCCTGTTTGTACTGTTGCAAGGCACGGCTGACGGCATCTTCCACCAACTTCCTGTTGCCTCTCAGGAGCTCGGCCTCGTCCGGCTCAGAACGACGGCGTCCACCTGGGTAGAACAAGCACAAAAGATTAAGCTCCTTCACTGGTGTCTGAAACATGAACACGTTTGTCCCTCAGTTGGAAATATGCGACAGCTGGTTTCCAACGCTTGGTTTGGAAAAAAAAAGAAGAAAAAAATGATACCGAGACATTTTTCCAAGCTGAGGACAATGTTGACAACAAAGGTCAAGGGACCTCAGCTGGGTGGACTGCAGAAGCGCTGAGCAGCAGAATAGTCAAGTCTGCAATGCGTCAGTGGTTGAAATGAAACCACAAATGAAGAAAAATAGAATTTTAAGCATCAACGTTTGTCACATAATTATTATTCTTTAAAAAAAAAGATAAATACATTGTTCAGCCTATACTATATATATATTTATATACACACACATACATACAGTATATTATATAAAATAAAGCAGCTGATGTTTTCTCTGCTCTAATGATGAATTATTCCAATGTGACTTTAATTGCCCTGAGTGATGCAGACTCAATTCCAGCTCAGACTGCCTCCTGTAGTGTCCTTTTATGACAACAGGGACATTTCATTCCTATTTTTCAATGTTGAAAATGACAAAAGAAAGTTACTCGTTATCTGACAGTTGGAAATGACTACCATCAATCACTGTGGGTTGAACCCACGACAACGACAAAAATCTTAATATTGTTGATTAAACAAAGAGTCCAATTTTCCATACACGCATTTTGGTCCTCACTCCTCCCCCTCTGCAGTGTTTGACAACATAATTAATTCAACAAGTAAAAGTCTTTAGTGATCTGCTCATTGTGCTTTTAATGGAGACAAAATGGCAGAAAACCAGTTAGGAAAAAAAGAGAGAGACAGGCAGTCTGTCAATTATTTATGGCAAAGACAGAGAGTCTGGATGACGGACAGCCAGTAATAAGCTACTTGGATTGAGACTATTAAACACTACCTCGAGCATTGGTAGTCTCGTACACATACACGTACTGTACTGAGCTGAGCTGTGCATTACACTATATATTAATACATCATGACGGAGGCCAAAGGTAAAAACCCAGAGCTACTCTCAACACCACACTGTTCCACTGGGAACAACGGTTGGCTTACATCTCAGAACAGCTTAGAGCTCTATGGTTCGTTAAAGAAGCAGGCGTTAGTCAGGAGACGGGCAAAATCGTACACAGATCTTCCATAGCACGGCGGAGCAGAGTAATTCTCAGGGGGTCTAACTAAGCAATAGCAGACCGAGAAACATTCCTGAGACAATACACACCACGGTTCTTAGTCTGACAATGAACACACACAATAGAGATGCTGCACAGAAAACCGTATGAAGAAAACAATATGAAATTTGTGTATATATATGCATATATATAGATAATAGGTAGGAGCCCCCTCATCCCACAAAGTCCTTCGTGTCATCATTGTTTTTGAGTCCTAGAACACAGAGCCTTAAACAGATAAACGTCACTGCCACTTGCAACCAGCTCACCACAAACCCATTTTCCTGACATGAATTATGCATTTGATGAATTTGTGTTATTTACACCAAATGTTAAGCAGGCTAACAGCTTGACAAACAGAGAGTAGAATTTGACGGACCAGAGGGCACCAGAATACTCATTCATTTTTTGCGACACCATGTGTTCACGTCGGCTAATTTCTATGCTAATTCAGTCTGTGTCCAACTTGATGTTCTGTTGTAGTACAGCTAACTACCTAACTAACTTTAACCACCGTGCTTTGTATTAACTGCAGACAGTTAAGGAGACTCTGACATCTGCCTGCTGCAGTACAAAGCATGTCTTCCTTCGGGATGCCAGTGTACTCAATAAATATTTGAAATCAGTCTTTCGCAGCTAACCTGAGACATGCAGTAACACACACTTTATGGTCAGATGTTTGGTCATATGAGTCTGTTCTTATCACCATCTTTAGTTTTCTAGCTGATCACCTTATCTCCAGTGTTTTGCTCCTGGTCTTTGTGTGGAATAATCACATGGTCACATACAAGACTCCTTTTATTCAGTGCTTACATGGGCAAGACCCAGAGTCCTCTGTGGGAAAATTGTCAGGAAAATATTTGTTGAGGCACAGTTAAACATGAGAACACTGCAAAAAAAAAAAAGTAAGTCTGTTTAAACAGCATTACTGTCAGAGCAGCTCCAGGACGGGCTGTGAACTGGAGGAAGTTGCAGCATCATGCAAATGTGAAGCGTGTGAAAGTCAAACATCAGCACGTAAAGCTGACGGAGATAAATTATGGCATCTTTGTGTTCAAGTGGAAGAACACAGGGAAGTTGTTTAACGACACTTTTTACAGTCATCAAATAAAGAACAGATAAACCCACAGAGACCCATGTTACTATAAAATAAATGTTTTGCTGATTTCTGAATAGGCATAACAGGCTACGGCTTCATTGACTGACAGTCAGATGGTCTAATCTATAAGACTATACAAAGGAACAGGGCAACCCTTCTGACACCACTATCATTAGCATTCCTGAACGAACAGCTAAATTCCTCCTTCAGAAAACGACTACAGTCTAATATGTTTGTGGTGGGAATGGAACAGAAACATGGGGATGACTACAGAAGAGCAGTGCAGCATTAAAAATACATAAGATGAACAGAAATCGTTTTTATTACCATTTTCAGGTTATGCTAATGAAGATCTCTATATCTGCTACCACTACTGTCATGGTTTTCATGTTCTCCAGGTGTGATTTTAGGATCGTTTCAACCTGGGGAACTGTGAAAGTAAATTAAAGTAAAAATATTCTAACTTGTCATGATCCAAATCCACTGACTGTCAGTCTGCCAAAACGCTGCAAGACTCACACAGGGTAAAAATAAGGTACAAGAACATTTTGTTTCAAAGATGGAAAAAAAGCTAACAAAAATGGCAATGAGTGTCTTAGAAAGATTAAAAAGAATAAACTGTCATCTGGTTATAAATGAGGAACATAAATGGCATATACAGACACCAAATCCCTCTGCAATCTCTATTAATCAGTTCAGTTTCAGCTGTGGTTATTAACATTCAGAGAATATCAGATAGTCATTCTAAACCCTACGTAAACAGACGCCTGTCTGTCGTGTGGCTGGTGTTGTCTTGGTGAGAGATTCTTAATCAGCCTGGTTCTGACAATGACAGGGGAGCTGCCCTCTCCTTTAATAACACACACACAGACAGACAAGGGTTATTTTTCCAACCAATTTCACAGAAACCAGCCTGTCAGCAGAGGGACATCTCTACCTTCACCTTCTGTTAGACGGCGTCGCACTGGTGTTTGACTCAACACTTCACACACACAGATCACCACCGCTTTTCGAGGAACATTCCCTCACTATCACACTTGTCTTCTGCTTCTAACATCTTCTCGTCTTTACCTTTTCAAACCCTCTCTCTTTATCTAAATATTTTTCTTGTTTTCAGGCATCCCCCCCTTTTACCTATTTGCTGGAAGTGTTGTCATGGTGACAGGATGAGACCCACTTCAACTTTTAACAAGACAGGAGGCTGAAGAGAATTACCTCTGTTTTTTTGTTTTGCTTTAAGAGATTCAATTCGTTGGTTTCACGAGGTACCTGTTGTTGTTGTTTACCTTTTGTCTTAGTTAATTGTGTTCTTAGCTTATTTTCACCATTGTTTTATATAACATTTATTTTACGTGTGCAGACATGTACTCTTTATACAAGCTGTAGTTAGCCATTGTACCACATAAAATATCCAAAACAATACGTAATGGAAAACATCAACATAATACATTAGCAGAAGCTGAGCGACCGGTAACCACATCCGTTTCATATTGTATTTGTGATTGATTATTCCGTCACATAACAGGGTTTACTGGTGAATGATTAGAAATACATGGATACACAGTTGGAGGTTGAGTATCTTAAAAGCCTGTTGGACCATCGGGTGTTCAGGACTACATTAATCAACCTGGTGTTGCTAAGCTGAACTGTTTTAATCAACACAATCCAAAGCTACAAGTTAGAGAGCTGGCAAATATAACTGACAGCTGAATCATCCAATGAGAGGATGGCCAGGTGCCCACGCTGACGTTCTTTAACATCATGAGTCAGTGCTGTTTATCGTTGCCCAGTTCTGTGCTCCAGTGGACTTCAGAGATGTACAATGCACACACAGAACAAGTAAAAACCTCAATCCACCCTTTACCAGCTTTTTTGATCATTTATATTAACTGTTAACTAATCCTGTGAGAAATCCATTTTTCTGTTACAATATATATATATATATATATATATATATATATATATATATATATAAAAAACAGTCACTTTAATTATCATATCCATCATTTGCACGTCTTTCTTTTTCCCCTCCTCCAATACACTGTTTGGAAATATAACCCTACACTGTTACAAATGCCTGTGTGTAGTTTCATATCACAACTGCTGTGTGTACGCTTTTTCTATTAAGGTTTCCAGCATCACAGTTTGTCTTTGTCTGCTCTTCCCCTGAGCTCCGCTCTGCTGTAATTCACTTTGTTTTGTAAAAGAAAACCATTTTAACATGACTTTAAACTCTATTACATGTTTATTTATCTTGCTTTGCAACAATTTTATCCTCTATATCACCCGAAGTCCGGCTATTTGTTGGATCAAAGCTGACATCCTGTAATGCTTTCGAATCCTGAATGCATTTTTATTTTTTGTACTTTCCAGCGTATATGAGTAATTTAAAAGCAGCTCCTTTGCAGAAACTACCCAGACACAGAAACCTCAGATGTGCATGCAACATCAAAGGGAGCCAGAATAATCTCATTAGAAACCTTGAATTCAATTAATTGGAAACAGAAACCCTGCTGATTACGTTCACATCCATCACATTTATTTGCTGCTATTGTCAATTTCATCCCACTTTGAATCAGCTGATTTCTGCAAAGCTTTAGTGCACAGATTTGAGGAGACAGTTAGAGGAGAAAATCTGGTGACAGGAGGATGATAAATGAAGGAACAGGGAGAACCGGCCACAGGAGGAGGGCAAAAAGGAG